CAAGTTTGTCCTTGTTCCCTCACATTTCCAGCTTTGTCCAGAAGTAAAACAGAGGCGTTGGGCACAGCAAAACATCCACCTGACTTACATGCAGAGTACAGTATAATCTCTTCAACCTTTATTTCAGCAGTTCTTAACTTTTGGATACTTAACTTAGCGATCTTTATGCCCTTTTAATGCAAAGGTCTGGTTGATTTTTTAAATTACAATCTCTTAAAGGTTCCAAGTCTTAATAATTTGAACTGATGCATTAATTAATGAACTGATTTGCAGATTCCCCAAAATGTAATTGCACTTGGGGAGTAAACAGCTGTAAAAAGGCTGAGGGCTAGATGCTGAGTTTTCTAATGTAAAGCTAAATGACTGAGTTGAGGCTTTAATGGGAAAATAGCACTCAGCCTTAACTACCTTAATTACAGCCTTACCTACAGCTACTGCCTTCACCGCAGCCTTAACTACCCCCTGCTACTGGAACTGTTTCGTCAGTCTCTCCGTCTTTCTCTTCTGTGGAATCTATGGCTGTCGCTTTCTCTACTTGGAATGCCAGTGTCCCACTCTTGAATTCCCTTTATCTATATTGCTGCTCCTCTGGTGTTCCCCTTCATCTCAACCCTTTGCTACTCAGCGTGGGGGAAGGCACAGACAGCCTTTTGCTCTAGTGGTAAATTCTGCCCCTGAAAGCCAGCTTGGAGATGATGATTAACAGGGGGAAGGAAGGAATCTAGCATTGAGCAACAGCAAAAACAGCTAGATGGGGGAGGACTTCAGTGCAACTGTGCAACCTCCTGTATCAAGGTGACTTCATGCATAAGAAAAACAGAGGAAAGGAGACTTCTTCTTGTTCCTCCCTCTGCAGAAACTCTGCCTGTATCTGCGAGGCCTAAAGAATGGCACGCAAAGCTTTTCTCCTTCCCCAAATAGTATCATCTTAGGGCATGGGATCAAAAGGACTGAAGCCTGGGTCCTTTGATGGGACATCTTTGATGGGACTTGGGAACCTATCAGGCAGTGTAACACAAGATTTGTCACACTGTGGAGTAGGATCGCACAGCTTTTCCCTGTCCTTCTTGATCAATCAACTGCTTCTCTGGCAAAGCAGTTACTGTGTATTCCCAGATAAACCTTTATGTGCACAGTTGATTTGTGTGGGCGCAGTAGATTTTTGTGTACACAGTGCAAGGCTCTCTTACCTGCATAATAAGACCTGTACCTCACAGGCACATCACATCTCCACTGAAGATATGGCCCTGGTTGTGTCAGATCTACTGTAGCTGCACAATATCTTGATGTGCACAGATCAAGAACTACTTTTCTAGTTTCTCAGATGAAATTCAGGACAGATACATCAACAATATATACATCTGTTTCTGAATGCCTGACTGACCAGAGCTGTCCTGGATTTCACCGTTGCACTCTGGTTTAAATCCCATGTAAATGCTTTGCTAAGGTCCCACAAGATTCTTAAGATTACTGTGTCCTGGAGTCACAGCTGTGAATGACCATTCAGAGAGATCTTCCTGCCCCAGGCCAACTAGCCTTGGAAAATCCACATCACCCTGGTAATAAACACTGCCAACATCGCTGCTTTTTTTTGCAGCAGTATCTGCAGGCAGTAACTGTTTCTTGATCTTGCTGAGCAACATACTTATTTGCTATCAAGGGCAGATTGTGGCTTTTGCTGCACAGAGATGTAGCAGAATGATGAGGAGGTGGCCTAGGGGAAGAGGCAGGGAATGTTGCTCTTGACACATCTATATTGAATAATTAGTAATAAGAGCCAAAGAAATATTCATGACTCTGTAGAAAGATAAATAGATTTTTGATGAAATTTGAGTTTTGTCTTTACAGCAGTTGAAGTTCTCTGTGATTGGTAGCATGGAAATTAGTTTTTTATGGATTCTGGCTGACTGGAGGAACCCTTTTAAAGCTGTTAGCCAAGATAATGCTCAGATATCTAGCTGGTGTGTGCTGGCAAGAATTCAGAATGCTGATGCCAGAAACCTGTGCTCTCTGGGCAGTTGCAGTGCAGTTGTTGAATGATTGAATCAATCCAACTTCTTCAAAGGATTTATTGTAACATTTTCTCCACCCAGTCCCCTAATTTTTGCAGAATTTTAGTGGTGTCTTTTAAGATAAATGGCAGATTCCGCTGCACTTAAGCAGACCTCAGGAAGGTGAATGCTTTAAGGGCATTTTCCTAGTGGGACAGATAAATACATATGTACCTATCTTTTACAACATTTACATTCTTCTTTTCAAGAGTGTTAGCACGGGTGGTTGCATTGCTCAGCACCCACAATTAAGAGTTCTGAAATTTTTGTCAGAGTCATAATATACAAATAAAACTAGGAACACTCTGCACATTAAGATGTTGACTCTTCCAGTGCACCCCAGTGCCATGGCCATCCAAAAAGTATTGTGCTGAAGGATGTTGCTGAACTGTACAGGATACCATGCAGGTTTTGAGAGGTCTGGCTTAAGTCTCCAGCTCAGCCATAGGCATCCCCACAGTAGCCATTTAATGTATTGTATGTCTTCATGATTCACAAGGAAATGCAGCCATACCTGAGAGAAGCCAAAATGCATGCAAGAGGAACTTAGCCATACTAAGGGACAGGAGCTGAACAGTTACCAAAATTGTGTCTTCACTCCTTTTACTCCCCCCCATATATTTTCCAATAAAACTAATGTGACTAAGTTATACAGAACACTAGAACAGACCTTTCTGTTCTGAGGTGACTACCTGAGCAAATATCATTGATCTGTGTAAGTCCTGTCCTCTTTTTGCTACCATGTTGTTTTTTCCAAATAATTGTTGCATTACTATGGTCCCTACAGTTCCCTCCTTCACTGTTCAGTCTAAGCAGTCCAGGACTACTGACAGTTGGCTGTACTTGTCCAGGCCTGGGCTGTAGTCCCAGTTCTGGTGCTGCTCCTTCTGATTTTGTGTGTGCCTTAAGGATGACCTGTACACTATACACCACCGTTATGATACAAGAAAAAAATAATATCACTAGTCAAGCATTCTCACAAGAATAATTTGTCTTCTAAAAGCTTGCAAAATCATGCATTAGTCCCGTGATGTGCCTGTGGTGAAGACTTTGGAGTATTGAAAAGAACAGGTATAGTGTAACTATCAGTTTGCTATAAAGAAGCAAACTCACAGGAAACAATATATTTCGGAGGTTTGGGAAATGTACATAATATTAAGCAATTCAGAGTCTCATTTTGGCCTCACTTTCTAGCAGTGACCAACAATATGCTACAAATCTCCCAAATCGGCCCCTGCTTAGTCAAGAAGCAACGATTTTATTATCATTACTGACTGCTTTAGCTTTATTTCATTATTGTTGCCACCATACTCTTTGTTACTATGGAAGTTTTTGCCCCAAACGGCTAAAGCCTCACAAAAATCTCAGTGAATTCATGGAAACTCTTGTGAGGTGTGAAAGCTGTGGTGGCATTGTTCTTGCTTTAGTCAGAAGAGTAGACTCAATGTCAGGTTCTGGTCACCTTTTTCAAACTGTGGCCAGCTGCAGCTTTTAAAAATGTTAAGTAACCTTGGCCACATTCACATGGTTGTCTGTGACAGAATTACCAAGACAGCCCGGGTAGTCTGTCCTACCCACTAGATACAAGTCCATTCTTTCTGATCTTACAACGACCGACTCTAGTCAGCTCTCTGAGGGAAAGCTCCAGTTTTCATTGTCTATTTTGACTCTCAAACCAAGGTTTTTAAAATGTAGTCTAAACTAAGACACTACTGAGCAGACAGGCCTGGTTAGAATACCTGTGAATGCCCCACCTCTTAAATGGGGGCCTGGGGGCTGGGGAAAGAGGGGTGTATTAAATATAGTACTAAACTTCTGAATTCCATCTTTCCTAAAGTTTGTGAGGGATCAACTGCTTTTCTCTTTCCTCACAAAAGCTTTGCTGTCAAGGTAGCTGCAGTCCCAAGTGTATCCTGAGTTTATTGTCATGCTCTGCCAAAAGCTGTGATACCAAATCAGGGCATTCCATGCCCATGGGATGATATTTTGCCAAAGGTTAAGTGTAGTGTGTATGGAAATTCAATTAATGGGCTGTCTCACTGGGCATTAATACAGCATCTTAGCACAAAACTAACCTCGCTGTGCTTCTCTTTTGCTCATTACTTTGTGAGACAGGTATTGCCCAGCCATGATTGCATTTGTCACAAGAAACACATGCACAAATGAAGACAGGCTCAGGGGCTGCTGGGAGGTGTCAGTATAAACAATAGCATGATTTGCACACAGGTTTCAGACAGTTTGCATCCCTTTTACTTGTCAAGTTACTTTAATGAAGGCTATAAAATAAATAGCCATGACTATAATCTTCAAGAATTAAAATTATTACCTGGCAAATTGAAGTAATTAACTCTTCTCAGCCAGGAATCAAACCAGAGATATATGGCTAGAAGGATGTGAAAAGAATATATTAACTCACTAGGTAATAGTGCTACTGTCCATCCTTTTTAGTTCTCTAAAAGACAAAAAAAAAAAAGACATGTTGAAATCATGTACTGGCAGCTTTTGTGACCACTGGAGTAACTGAGAGTCATCTTAGAAGAAGAGGTACCAGACATGGTTTAGAAATGCATCTGTTTGGTCTGAAAATACTGTTCTGTCTTTTTTCCTATTAAAGACTGTGCAACATGAGTCTTCCTTCTAATTAGATTCAAGGCCAAGTTAAAGGGTGGGATTAGAGGGCTGGAATTCTATATAGTTACAGAATATGCTTGGTCTTCTCATCATTCCTCACTGAAAAGAATTCATAGTAGGGCCACAGAATTTTAAATTATGGTAGTTCTTGACCATTTTCTGAGTTTGTTAGAAATGTGTTTCTGTTGAGGTAAGGAAAACATGCTGGTTTGTATACTTGTATTCTGTACAAGAAAGCCAGTCATGATTCTGCTAAACAAAATGGAAATGCACATGACCATAAATACCATGCTCATTTGACTGTATTTTGTATTTCAGATCACCACATTATGCTTGTCCTGAAGTCATCCGGGTAAGTTGGTTAACATTATTGTTTATAAATACATTTTTGAAGTGTCACTCATTGCAAGTATGCAGATAGACCCTCTATACAAGAAATCTGTCCAAGGCAGACAGCACAGGAAGGACATAAGGAGCGTAAGGCTCATCCCTGAATCAAACCACATTAACTGTATGAGGGAAATAATTGTGTGTTATTCTCACAGTACCCTTTGTACTGTGTCATCAGACAGAAATGCAGGAGCCTCCTTTAATTTGATCTTTCAACCCAAGGGATGTAGTCCCCTCTGCTTTCCTGTCTCTTATGTAGCTGTCATTTCAGTAGAAGAACTGGGGTTGACTGTCAGTGATGTTGGTTTCCACTAAACAATGCAAACTGTTCTTTCCCTCTGCTCTCCCTTTGTCCTCTGAAAATAAGTATTTAAGATTTCAGTGGCCAAGATTACCCTCTTCTTAAGCTTGTCTTTAATGTAAAGTCAAGCAGGAAGCATACAAAAGAGGCTGTCCAGACAATACTATGAGTTCACAAATAATGTGGCTGGTGACAAGCTCCCTGAAGAACCAGGGAAGAGAAAAACACCTTCTTGATGTCCTTAATGCACCTCTGACACTGTTAAAATGTCAGCTTTGATAACTTGTGAGTTGTCAACCATTCCTGCCCTGCTCCCTACTTCTGAACCTTTTCCCACAGATCCCAGATAGGACTCTAAACTGACGTTAACAAAAATTCGATTAGCGGGCTGTGTAATGTCCTCCTAGTTGGGAAGGCCGCCTTGGGAAACAGGTGGCTGAATTGAAATATGGGTTTTCCCAGTTTCCCCTCTCTTGTTCTTCAAGAATAATTAATTCATTTACTAGTGATCAGTCTTTTGAACCTCTGTGTCATTGCTGCACAGGGAGAAAAATATGATGGAAGGAAAGCAGACGTCTGGAGCTGCGGAGTCATTTTATTTGCGTTGCTAGTGGTGAGTCATCTTCCTTGCACTAGCCTTTAAAAAGAAAAGAAAAATTTGAAAGTGCTGCTGTATTTAAGGGCAATTCTATTGACATCACGTACAGGTGGTTTTTTATAGTTCCCCTATTTTTGTATCTCTCAGTGGCATCCTGTCCTCTTATTTCTACATCAGCCCCAAAGGAAAAGCATAAGAAGTATTTCACTGCTTCTTTGAAATGCTGCTGCCCTGCACAGGAGAGCATAGACAGACATCGAAAACTTGTCTCCATAAATGCTCTTTGCTGTGTTGTGATATTGCAGCATGTTTTTTTGTCTGGAAAGGATGTACAGGGTTACAACTCCAGGATATAGAGAATGTCCTATAAGTCATCCTTCACAGGATCAAAATATGGCTGGGTTTGCATTCATTTTTTCTGCTGTATATGTACATGTGTTTCAGATATATGCATACATTAATTGCAGCGTTTTTCCAAGGGAAGGTTTGAGTGCCACAACTTTGTTTCATGCAAGCAGTGAGCTACATTTTAATTTGGTACACTTGAGAATATAAAACTGAGCCAGTAGTACAGAGTTTAAATTAGTTTCCATCTGGCTCAGTAATACTTTTAGTGTTCAAAATATGGTATCTGGTAACTTACCCTTCTTTAGATCAAAGTTTCAATTCTCAGTGCCATTTATTCTGATTTGCAGTGCTGTTATAATACTCCTAAACATAAAACAGCTGAATGTCCAGCTGAAGGCAGATAGGCTTGACATTTGCTACCAATTTCCATAGTCTAACGTAAGAAAATATATTTTATGTTAATAAAAGCATATACCACATGCAGATAGAATATGGCATGATATTCTGTATGAATATAGGTTTTATGTGCATGTTAAGCATTTTATATTTGTAATAGTTCAGCTGATTATCTATAATTACAAAAGTAACAAACCTGAAGTAAAATTTTGATGTTCTTTTACATTTATCAGTAAACCTAATTGCTTCACTTAAATGTTTTGTTTTGACAAAAGCATTTGTACACTGTAAAATCAGAGATAGATTCTGCATATTATTTTTGTTTAAAATACTTTAAAATTTTAGAAGATTTTTGTTTCAAAAAACATGCCAATTCTCTTTTAATGACCTGAATCAAAATACCTTGAAATAATCTCAGTATGATACTTTAATTCCCCTTAACCAATCTTACTCTTCTTTTTAGTCATTACAATTCACTGACATTTCTGAAGTTTTAAATTTTTTGTCTTGATGCTGCATGGGAAGAATTTTAACTGTCACACTAGGCAGCACCCGGTCATCTCTTACTGAGCAGCTACTTTCATAACTGATAAAATAGAACTGTATAATGAGCTCTTAATATAACTTCTTGAATTTGTAAGAACAGAAGAAAGAATGTGTCAAGATGGTTAGGATTTGTAGGAGTGGGCTTTTCATTTTCAGGGGGATTCTCTGTCAAGATTTCATGTCTCTGTTGCTGCATCTTCATCTGGTCCTACATACACACATGAGCCTGACAAATGATTGAAATAAGTCTGTTAATGATGGAGAGCCCAGAGCTCTCCAGTTAATCATGTCAGGACGAACCCTACAAAAAGTCTCAAGATATAATAGCAGATGGTAGTAATAAAAAAAGGTGTACTTGTTACCTTCAGGAAATGCCACAAAGCATCCTTTCTGACTTCATCATGGCTTAAATTGCGTTAGCTGAAGTACTGAACTATCAGAATTGATTTTCCTTTAAGTCTGGAATGGTTAGGAAAAGCGTAGGTAACTCAGGAGGTTGGTTACAGCGGAACAGGGAGGCTCTCCCTGCAAGGCCACCTGAAAGAACAAACACTAGTAAATAGTGCCCAGTAGTGGTTGCCATCAGGTGACTTCCTGAGGCTACTGTAAATGGAGCTGTTGGTCTCCCTAAACTGTAGACACAGGATTGCTTATACAGATGCACTACTCACTGTAGTAAGAGCAGTGCCAGAACTGACAACTTAAAGCTTCATTATTGCAGCAGCTGACAGCTTGCAGCTTCCCACAAACCATCCTGGAAATCAAGGAAGCTCAGCACCTACTAGAATTAGGCAGTGAAAGAAGGAAGTGAGAATATCTAGGAAGGTGCAGACTTGCTATAAAAGGGTATCAGCTGCAGTCAGTGGAGTTATCCTAAAGATTTCAACTTCTCTTTTTCCTTTTTGTCCTTGCAGCAAGGATAGGTGTTTTACTGCTTTTTGTGGCAAGCTGATGATCTATTCACAATGTAGTTTCAGCTAAAAAAACCTCAAGCCATTCATGTAAGTGAGCTACAGTAGGGAAGCAATAGGAACTGATGACCTGACCACAGCATGGGAACTGGATGGAGTATATTAAACAGGTAGAATGTCTGCTGCTTCCAAAGGCTGCTGTTGGTTGGGGTTTCTTTCAGCTGTGTCATTTCAATGCTCCATCAGAAAGGGCATGTTCTCTGCTGAAAGTCTCTCAAAAGCTGTTCACCTCCTTTTCAATGTCTGCAATAAATGTGTCTTAGGAAGATTAAAAATAAGGAGACGATAAACATTGCTGCTGTGAAAGTATGCCCAGGAGGAATACCAGCAGATCAAAAGCTTGAGCTGAATTTAAGTGAATCCATGCATCTTTGGTGAATTTGCCTGGAAAGGCAATTTCGTATTTTGTATTTTATTTTATACTGGTAGTCATTTTCTAATTAAAGTCTAATAAAAAAACTCTGTCCTCAGTTTTGTTCCTATGTTAGAGGAAATACAGCAGCACTAAGTTACTTATTTTCAACAGATAGAAGTTTTTTTCACTTACTATAATATTTCATTATAAGCTGACTTACTCACTTCCATTCTCTCACTATGTTTATTATGGTTTTTCTCCTTTGACCCTCTCCAATTCTCTACCACTGACCACTCTGTCACATCCCCGCAGGGTGCCCTGCCTTTCGATGATGACAACTTGCGGCAACTGCTGGAGAAGGTGAAACGTGGAGTGTTCCACATGCCACATTTTATCCCACCTGACTGTCAGAACCTTTTGCGGGGGATGATTGAAGTGGATGCCTCGAAACGTCTCACGGTAAGAAAGTATTTGGTGCTGATGGTACGAGCAAGGTTTCATTTCTCATCTTGTTGCAGTTATGGTTGAACAGCTAAGATAACTTGTTGATTTACTGCCATTCCTGTGAGTTTCCTTCTGATCAAAAGAGTGAGTAGAGTTGCTGGAGTCCTTACGAAGAAATTAGTTACCTTCTCTTTTGAGTCACGAGGACAGATTGCCTTTGTGTTTTTACTCTAACCTCATAATTCCCTTCCATATGTAGCACTGGGCATTTAGAAGAAATCCCTCACAACATCATCACAGAGCTACTGATGCCTTAGCACATTTTGGAGTCCACCTGAGTTGTCTGGTTCTTCTGGCTGGTACAGCAGTTTGTTGGGAGCGTGAGAGACCTGTTTGACGGTCACAGCTGTTAGAACTGTTACTTGAAGCTTTGCTAGTAAACAGTATGATTTTCTTACATTTCTGACAGAAGTATTGGCTTCTCACCTCATGCCGTGCAAGCTTCATTGTATTCTATCCTGCATTTGCTCTGCACTGTCCTCTAGCAGCCTTCAGAGCAAGTATCTGCCTGTCTGCTTTTTCATCTTGTGCCTTGTGGTCCTGAGCACTGTTAGGCCCACAGTGTTGAGCTCCTGGCATTCAGCACTGAGTTTGCATTTAGGATGCATCCCATCACTACAACAGAGGCCTTGAAAGGGCAAGGACTGTGTAGTGATTGTATCCTTCATTAACACTGTGTTAATGTTTTAGGGAATTTTAAAAATTAGCAATTAAAATAATTTTGGAAACTAAGATTGCCTGCTTGTCAGTGGAGGCGTCTGCCTTTATGGGTACATTGCCCTTGTAAATCCTATTGTCAGGCTGTGGTGATGATTTTATACAGATTTACTAAGCTCACAGATTCTGAGTGGGAGTATGTATAAAGAAATGTAAATTTAAAACTCCTCCTGGTTCTTCAGTCTGCTAAAATATTTATAAATAAACTCTCAGATCACAGGTTGGCCTCTGCTGAGATTTCTAACAACAGCATCAGTCTGTGCCAGCTGTGATGATGCTTTTGGGATGCAGACACCTGTCTGCTAAGAAGTGAACTGAAACTCTGTTCACAACTCTCTTTACAGCTGGGCTTTTCTTTCATTCATTACGAAACCAGGTCATGCTGTATTTGGTGACACAGGTGAAAAGTTCTTCATGTTGTTACTAGTATCCCTACTTTTGCAAACCCAGTAGTCATCATATTTGCAGTATATTAATAGCACTGATTGAAAAAAAAATATTAAGCATAGAAAAATTTCAAGCATAAAACAGATTTTTAAAGAAAGAAATTACTTTTTCCCAAGTACTTTCATGGAAAGAACACTGCAGAAGTTAGGGCTATACCCTGAGACATGAGACAGCTGTTCTTCGTGGCCGAGAATGTCACCATGTCCCTCTTGAGCTTAGCTTCCTTTTTGTTTTGTAAACATATCAGTTTTTCTGCTGTTTTGTCATTGTTGGTTTTTTTTCAAAGATATTAGTGTTGATGAACTAAGTCTGCTAGGAAGGAGATCATCAAATGTTAGATCCCTCGTCAGATTGTTCTGAGTTTTTCCATAGACCAGAGACAGACTCTAAATGTTTTAAGTTGTGCAATATGTCAGAGAATGTACACACATAGGAGAGAAAGCAGTTAAGGTAAACCAAGGTCCCAGAGTGACACCCGTCCCCCCTCCTTTTCTTGATGAAAATTAACCTCTTACTTCCTTGGGGAAGAAAAAACACCAGATCTGATAGTTATTGGAAAGCTCTAACCAGTGAATTATGAATAAGAATTTGAAATAATACATATTCAAGAGCCAAGACCTGGGAGGGAAAAAGGTTAGCTCTTTGTTATTAGCTGCAGTCTTATTTTCATTATGTGAGGGTCTCTCAGTTTGCTGTCCCTGCTGCTGTCACACCTCTGTGCTGTTATTGAGCTACTTGCTTCGATTGCCAGGCAGAAGGGAGCTCTTTGTTTCCTGCACAGGAGCTGAGAATGTAGAGTTCATTCTGAGGAGAGATCTGAACTATATTTTCGCTGTGTCCTGTGAAAAAGGGTATTAATACGGGTTTATTTGGAAACCTCTATTCCTGGAAAATATATATTTCTTGAATCAAGTTGATATTTATACAAAGATCTGAGCAAAATTGCAGCTTGGGTACAATAAGTACAGATGTAGCTGTTACCATTACTGATCATTTGCTCAATATCTCATTGGTGAATTCAGCAGAAAATACAGTGAAATGTAAGGTCACCAGAATTTTTGTCTTTCATTTTTCACTTCCCCTCTCTGCTTTGTTCCTTTTTTTTTTATTTGTATCTCTTTTCCTTTTCATCCAACTGCATTTCCCTCCCTGCAGCAATTGCCATTTCACAGCACACCCACACCTTCCCCAGTCCATCTGTTAAAATGATCAACAAAAACAGAACCAGGATTCACGTTTAACTGTCATCATTCGCTTCAGTGTTAAAGCTTGAGAAGATTAATGGAGGGGAGGGTACTCAGAACTATTGTTGCTGGCCCTTTCCAGCCTTAAGAAATAGGCATTACCTTTCTTTGTATATGATTCATTTATGGAAAGAAGACTTTGCTACATCTTAGTGGAATATTGTTCACACTCACCATGTATTACATAGCTTCAAATATGGTTAGTGGAACGTCCTTGACCACTCTCGTTTACTGGACCTGTTTTACTGAACATGCTTTAAAATAAGAGAATCCATGTTTTTCTTTCATTAAGCTGCAAAAGTTGATCCTAGCTGCTGGTCATGATATTTCTGACCACCCATATTCATGAAAGATGAAATCAAAGAATGAATACTAAGGTGATCAGCATTTGAGAGAGCCTGTCTGAAAAGCATGGCCTAAAAGGGCTTCAGCTAGACTACATGGATGATGTCTAAGAAAGGTTGTACTGCTCATCTGCATATTTCTGAGAGGTAATTACTAGGCAGAGAAGGATTATTTAAACTAAAGGAAGATACTGGTACAAAACCAAATGTATGTCAAATGGCCTTACAGAAAAGTAGGCTAGAAACTAGAAGCAACATTTTAACCATATCAGCGGAGTTCTGGGACAGCTTTCTAGTAGGAATAGTGTCAGGAAGGAAAAGTGAACTAGAAATAAAGTTTGAGAAGGCTTGTGGAAGGTGTGCTCTGGGTGCCTGAAGTACTGCAGGATGAGCTTTCTTTTAGTTGTGTGCACTTCAGAAAGCAAATGGTTTTTTCCTTGGAGATTTCAAATGATTCAGTGTCTCTGCAGCAGAGAGTTACAGCTCCTGTAGTGGAAACCATTTGCATTCTCAACCAGTATATTCTTCTACAGAAACACAAAAGCAAAGGGCAGATAGTAAGGAGCTTTTGGTCCACTTTCCTTTTAAAGATGGATGAGCATATCAAAACTTTGTCTCTAGAGCAAGGTGGATCAGAGTAGATACTGAAGAATTGACAAAGCTGTTATTGTTCTAGTGTTGACATTTTATACTAGAGTGGAATGACTTGTCTTCCATGTTGGGTGTCCACATAGTCTGAAATACCTGTCCCTGAATATTACCCAACTTAAATTACACATATTTTCAGAATCTCCTCTCTGTTCTCTACTTTTGTTTTTTGTTGGGTCTAATATGTGTTAATGATGGACTACAACATCTAAAGAATGTTACAAAAATGAACAAGGGACAACTCACCTGATTCCTTCTTCATTTTTCTAGAAGGTCTTATGGTAAGGTGTCTATCACATCATTTAAATTATCTCACTTCACAAGCTGTAGAATGGAGGTTATTGCCTAGTTGATGTATTTAGGCTGTAAGGTTTTGGCTGACAAGGGTCTATTCATGCACTGTGCAGGTAGGATAGTGATTCTTGCCCTTGTCAAGGTCCCTGGAGGCTGCTATAGTACAACTGCTACTGCTGACACAGATAATGGTTTTGCCAGTGCTGTTCGCAGCACCAGCTTGAATCTTGTGGTCAGGAAAAGCCTCTATCTTAGCCTTACACAGTCAGTTTGAAATTCAAACTACAGGATCTTCTGAATGAAGAAGATTAATTTGATGTGTGGGTTGATTTGGGACGCAGATGGGTTTGAGATTGTTCCCTTTCTGGACAGGGAATTTTGAAATTTGACATGAGTTCAAGCCCAGAAGGCCTCATTTATATCTGCAGACTTTTGAGAAAGTTTTTCTTCAGGTCAGAACTTTTTAGCTTGGCAACCGCTCTGCTGAGATCAGTGCCGAGGATGTAGACAGCGCGGTCTTGTTTTCCATCTGCCTGTCTGTCTCCATCTGTTGTTCCCTGCCTTAGAATTCAGACGTAAGCTCCTTGTGGGAGGAGACCTCTTTTTCTGATGAGCTTGTAGAGCTCTGTATCACAGTGGGTCTTTCACCTGTGAGTGGGGCTCTTCAGTGTACAAGTTTAATGTATATTGGAAGTATTTTTATGTAAAACCATGATAAAGGAATTCTCTCTCTCCTTCCATTACAGCATTTTAGCTTGCAGCAATCTCTCCTCTGACTGTGCATGTGCAGTGGATCTAAGCGTGTTTTGTTGTTTCAGAGATGACATCATGAGACAATTGCCTGCAGTGACTAGGAGATATTAGGAAGCAGCGTTTTAACAACTTCCATAAAATGGCATTAAACTTGGCAAACTCATGGGCAAACAGCAAGAAGAACCCTCTGGGAAGGGTTATTAAATGCCTTCGTCACTTAAATGCATTTAAACATTGTGTTTAAATGAAGGCAGGAGGAGTGAGATTAGCTCCCACTGTGTATCTCCCTCCCCTACACTGCATAGTAAAAAGCATACAGACTTCTCCTTGTCAAAACCAATCGCCCTCCCATAACCCTTCTGTCACTTTAATGCAGATGAAAAGCAACAAAGCATTAATTAATTACCTTTAAAACAGTAGTGAAAATGTTGGCAGCAGCAAGCACACTTGTAATAACATTTCAATGCAATTATGTTTTAATCAGCATAGAAAATGGATTTGTAGAATACTTTTCATATCTGGGATATCCCAGCATACTTCACAGCAATGGTTTTGGTGTGGATTGAATGGCAGATATGTAGGTAAACAGCAGCCATGAGAACTGTCATACACCTTCAAATGTATATCAGGGTACTACAGGGCTTCTCTTTCAGAAAAATGGCTATGGGTTCATTAGCTTGAAGGAGATTGATCAACAGGGATAAGCAGAAGGGATTTCTCTGACATCTTCTCTGAAGGAGCCCAGAGGTTCTGTGACTGAGACATGAACTGGTGACCCTCTTTTATTCCCCCTCTCTGACTCAGAAAGTGAAGTGCTGTTGTCTGCTTTGGCATGTCATTTCCACATATCACAGGCACACAAGAACACCGTGACCCATGGAGACAGAAAATGCAGCAGGAGAACCAAGCATGAAAGAGGCTTGGACATCATGTAGCTGTATCATCTGCATGTTGTCTGAAATCATTAATGTCTCTAACCCTCTACGTGGTGTATAGGAAATAACAAGTAGATATGCATCTCTTAGGCTGGTTTACCAAGCACAGGAGGTACAGTACACTCCTTAGCAGATCCTCACAGAACTATAGACCTGATAAGTGACAATGCTAAAATTCTGTCCCGTGGAAGCTGTACAAAGTAGACTCTTCTTATGTTCTGGGGTTGTACCTCAACTTCCAAAGAACCATAAGTTAGAGGGCTGTGTCTCCAGGCTTTTAGGGTAACTCTCATAATGCATAGCTTTGTCTTGACAGGAGATGGCAGTGTGTCAGGAATACTCCACCTTGGTCATAATAGTGCGGGGATGAAAGGACTACCTAATGCAAGGGGAATTGTGATGAAGAGAATTAATGTGACAGAGCTGAGGCCACAGCTGGAAACTGTGCAAGTCTGCCCAGGCTCGTGGATGTGTGTGCTGGGGGAAATTGATGCTCTCAGCACCTGGGCTGGTTAGAAGACAGCTAGATATGCAAGTGCCAACTGCACCTCTGACTGCAGTGCTGATACAGTCTGGGTTTTAAAGGAGGCTGTTTGTCTCATGCTCTCCCTCCAGCCTCCTGTCATGCTTTCCTAAGCTGCATTCTCCTGTTGCTTTTCCTGTGAGACAGGAAAAAGCCCTGTCTCACTTAGAAAAAATTATCACATAGAGCCAAACTCACATCTTCCTGGTTTCTCAGACGTGGAGCTGTTGTTCCATAGCACCAGGGCTCTGATTCCTTGCTGTCTGTGGCAGACATCTACTTTGTATCTCTGAGGTTTTGTTGTTTATCTGTTCCTCTTTTTTTTTTTCTCCAATTCTCATTCTCAAAGTGGAATATAATAAAAGCAAGACAGCTCTCTCCATTCTTCCTGACCATTTTAATGGGTCTGTGATTTCGTCTGATAGCTGTTAGCACTTGAGTTTCTCTCCTGCCTTTCACCTGCATGTTGCACAAATGCAAGCCTGTGTGCAGTGAATGTGCATATTGTTCTGCTCATACAAAGGTGCTTCATAGTGATGAATATGAAAAATATTGTCCGCATAATCCCTGGACATCTATGAAAAGTTCTTTTCTGCTGTGATTATGATTAAAACACAACATATTAGGAATGTTCTGCTGTAAGTATGTCATATGAACCTCCTGTTCTTTCTACTGTTAAGGGTTTCTCTTGGAAAAAGCATGTTGCTTTCTTTTCCCCACACTCATGGGAAAACATGGTCATCGTGTAACGTTTGCTGGGATCTGCCTTCCATAGGTGGACAAGGCCACTGTTTAGCTTTGATCAGTCCTTCATTGCATGGTAAAATACTCATATGCGAAAGAGGAAAGAGGAAAGTAAAATAAAATTGCAGACTGGTGTTCAGGTATGGGATCAGTAAATGACATAGAGCCTTAGTCTGCTTGGTCCTAAGGTTTTAATGATAAATGTGAAACCAATCAAGAGTGGGTCCTGGCAAAAGTTCTCCTCACACATGCACAAATTATTTTGTTTATTTACATTATCCGTTTGAACCTATTTTCTTCTTTCTATCTCTCTTTTTCTCCAAAACGAAACTAGAAATAAACTTTAAGTATAAAAAATTAGCTCTTATGCACATTCAGAAAGGAGCAGTTTGTTAGCTTTGGTTAAATAATAGAGGGAAGGGAAAAACTTAAATTGCCAAAACACTTGCCTGTGAAGCCTCATAATTAACATTTTCCTGGGATTTGCTCCTGACTGACCCATTATGTTTGGAATTATGGTCTTATTTTCAGTGGGATGGGTGAGGATGAGCAGCTCTGGTATGCACAGATCCAACTCTGAAATGTTGAACTTACTTGAATAAGGATGTCTTATGGAGTTACCTTTTCTGTTTTACAGCACTAATTCCCTTGTTTTCTTTTCCTTTACAGTTAGAACATATTCAGAAACACATATGGTATATGTAAGTAACATTTTTTCAATTCATTTTTGTATGCATTCATTATTGGTTCTGATATTGAAATGATTTCTGAAGAGTGAGACTGGAGTCTGAAAGCAGGTTTCACCCGGGTGGGAAAAGGGGCAAAGGACAGAAAGACTTTTAATTTTTTCTTCTAACCCTTTGCTACTCATATAATTTCTTCTATGTATACCATATGTACAGTGGCTAGCAACTGTTTGAAATAGCACAGCAACTTACTGTGTTAAAGAGATACTTGCAGGTGATCAGCAAAAAAACCCCTGCAACTAGCAGCCATATTTAGTTTGCTATCCAAGTGCTGCAGACAATCCCTTGTACTATCTTCTTGACAAGAAAGCTTTCTTTTGTTCTTTCTTGGCATCTTGGCTTTTCTCTGAAGTAGAAACAAAAATGATGATATTGATAAGTAAGCACCTGTGAGCAAGAGGTTTTCTGTCTCATAATCCCTGCTCCTTCTTCATAGCAAGCTAAGAGGCTGCTTCTGACCTTGTAACCTGTTGATGCGAGAGTAGTTCTGTGGCTTGATTAAAAACAGCAGTCCTGACAGTGAAACAGGAGGTCTGGGAGAAAAGTACACGCCTGTCTAGTGGTTTGGGTATAAGAAAGATTGATGGCTTTTAAAAGTGGCCTTGCACTCTGTGTAGCTTTAATAGTATTTCAAGAAACCTAAGTAAATAACTTTTTTATACTGATGATAACCTAATCAAACTGAAGAGACTACTTCACATATTAAACAAGGAAATGATGCTTTGATACATGTTTCTCAGGGTCAACATTTCCCAGGTGGGTGGTAAGGGAAGTCCTACCTTCATAATCCTATCATTGCTCTTGAGAAATACTCAAGGATGATATGAACTGATACATAAGCCTGTCACTAGTAAGAAAAAAAAAGCAACCACTTTTTTTTGTATTTGTTTTCTCTAATTCTATGTTATGGAAAATGTTCACCTCTGGATTTATTTTTAATAGAACCTGAGGACCTTCAATGGTTTGTTGGATAGCTAAGAAAACATTTGAACTAAGAAAAAACTTAGTTCGCCTGTAATGGTGGCAGCACTCTGCCCATGGCTTTTTCACGCTCTCCAGTAACCAGACATGGCACCTTTTTAAACCAAGGAAGGGCACAAGTGTTGTTTGCAGCAGGTACTTTTTTTTTTTTAAACTCTCGTGGATAAACTTAGAAGAAATGGAGGGGGAAAATCTCTAATTGTAATCTGTGAAATCTCTCCTATAATGTTTTACTAGCAATTCCAGAAGTAAATGCTGTTTACATCAGATTGGACAGCTGATCCACTCTGTTTCTTCCTGGAGTGAAATCAGCTGGCTCTCTCTCTGCTTTAATCAGAACTGGAACAGGAAATAAAATGAAAAGTTATTGATCACTTATATTATTATTCTAACCCTCCTCAAATTTTTGCCTGGAAATTTTCACCTGTTGAAAGACTGTTGTCCCAGGCTCTCATGCACAATTACACCAGTATTATTTCATGACTTTATTCTGTATTTAGAATTTGAATATTTTTTTTTCTTTGCAGACATAAGCATTTGAACATTTTCATGTACTTCTCAATGAAGGTCAGACTCTTTGATGATTGACAGAGTAAACTGTGTCAAGGGAAATATCATCTGAGGCTGTTTTCAGAAGTAGAAACTGAGTTTTGCAAAAGCAAGTCTCCCCTAGACTCCCAGTGTAGTCAGTGGAGAAAAGCTCTTCCACATATCTCTTCAGAAGTTTCTGCTCAAAATAGCTTTTTTAATGAGTCTCTTTCTCATTTTCTCTATACTGGGCATGGATTGACCTTAGGAGTTTAACCTCCTGTGACTAATTTTAGTTAGTGAATAACCCTGCCACCTCCAAAACTCAGCTACTATCATCTGGTAATGTTTCACAGCCTCTTTGCATTCATTTTTCCTGGAAATACTGATGCTGACAGAGAAGGGGGGGGTTATAAGTGTTTTATTCTATGACTGTTTTGCTCATCTCTTAAATTTTTTCCTTTATTTCACCTGCTATTCTATGTAAAATCTTCATCCTTTGTCATATATAGGTTACTGACCTGAAAGTTGTACTCAGAATATATAAGTGATTTCACTTAATTCTTCAAATAAATATTAAGGCTACTGTAAAACTGAGGAAAAGATTTAATTGCAGACTAAGAGAGACAGAGAAAGAGGTCTTGAAAGTTGAAATCATGATTCACAAGCCTAAAAAAGGAAAAAGAAATCAAAGTGAAACCTTTCATCAGCAACCTCCAGTTCTTCTTGCTCTCCCACCCAAATTAATTCAGTGAGGTTTTTCAAGCCTTTATAATTGAAATAATTTATTTTTACCTCTAACGTAGGTTATCATAAGCCAGAAAATAAACAGCAGTTATTCTCACATTTTTTTAATAAAGAAAGAGGGCAAATAAAATTAGCTGTTGTGGCAAATGCATACTCCTGTAACACTGAGTTATTGCCCTAATTGTGAAGGTACCACATTTACTAAAGCAAGATAAAGAATAAGTGTACTGGTTCTGCTTTGCTTTTGCACTGACGCAAATGGGTGTCTCGCTGAGATTCATGAGAGAATTTCATGGAGAGACTGAAAAAGTCCACCCTCCTCAGGAATCACAGCCGTTGTATGCACCGATCCTCACAAACAAGGGTGGGTTTTAAAGCAGCAATCACGTTCATGTGGGCCTTTAAAAAAATATATGTGATTTGCAGTATTCATCGTGTGACATTGTTTGATGTCTGTGTGGGCTGAAATGCAACAAATTTGTCACTCTCTGCTAGACTGAAAATGGAACAGGCATTACAGTCATGCCAATCACAGCCCAGACCCAGTGATTTTTGTTTCCTGAAGCACTGAATTGCGTTGTCAAATGACGAGACACCTCTTTGCAGATTTTACTTGTACCTGATGAGGAGATGTGAAAATTCCTGCCTATGTCTGAGGCTGACCAGGTACAGAGCATAAGGACGTGCCACTTTCCAGTGCACAGAAGATGGCAAGCTGTGTTGTCGTCTAGAAATGGCTCCCATGCCAATTGATGCAAAAGAAGCTTGCAAATTCTATTTTGCTGTGGACTAGGGTGACTAGTAGGAAACCCAGATTTTCTGGAAATTTTCAGAGACAATAATTATTTTTAATGTCTTTAAATTACCTTAAGGATATCTGTTTGTAACATAATGATTGATTAATTAAGTCAGTACTTTTCAGAAGTGAATTGTAGATCACTGAAAACCAAAAACACTCGGCTGCTTTCAAAGGTCCATCCTGCAAGAATTTATCTTAATGACAAGGTCATTGCCGTCTTTAGTAGTGCAAAGTTATGATCTAATCATTGCTTATTACCTGCTGAGAGCTAGATCCTGATTCTAAGAGGTAAGAGTAGTGATCTCTTACAAGGAATAAGATGTTTCTTTAGTTGAACAAGGATTTTTGAATCTAGCTCTTAGATTCAGGACCATGGTGGCGGTTTAGAAGACACAGACACTTCTGCGAGTCTCAAAGGGGGCATCAGAAGCTGTGTTTTAGTGGTTTGGTACACAAGAACGAATCCCAAGAAACAGATTCTTTCTGTGTCCTGTATATTCTGCTTCCAGTCCCCCAAACTGAATAAAACTGAGAATGATGTGTCTGAGTGCCCATTGTAAGAGAAGTGGGATCTGACCCATGTTGTCATGGCCCATGTAATGTACACCACAGTCTGACTCCATGACATATATCAAGGAAGGGCTGAGCACATTTTCACTGCTTCGAGAGAAGATAAAACGAAAATTTCCAAGCCATATTTCTGCAAGTGATGTCCCACAAACAGTTAACAGAGCAGATGCCTCACAACTGCATTTCAGCTTGCTTAAAAACAAAATGCAAATAGCATCCAACAATCTCCTGTGATTGCCCCAGCATGTAACTGTCCTGTCTTGGCTACTATGACTTAGTATTGCCTTCTTAACTTGGAGGAAATAATCTACATTGGCCCTCTTTTTGGCTGAAACCTCAAGCTCATATGTATGATCCTACCAGAGCTGCTTTCTAACTTACACAAGAAAAATTAAGGACATTTAAATTGGAACTTCTTTTTCTGTGTAGATGTTTGGACAGCTCAAGATGTTAAGCTGTGCAAGTAACTTCACAAGTTGTGTCCGCCTTATTTCTTCCAGCATCAGAAAGAATCTCCTGTCCAAACACAGACATTTACTCCATAAACAGCAAATACACTTTAAATCTTCCTGATTCTTGTCTACCACATGGGAGCCTGGACCCAGCATGTACCTGGAGTCACACATTTGAATCACATAAAGGAAAGGGAGGACCCACAGAGCAGGGAAACTTTGACATTGCACAAGGCATCCATTGAGAAATAGCAAAGATTCAGGGTGGACTGTTTCTGCAACGAAAACACCACCACCACCACCAAACCCACCTCTTGAGGTGGATAGAGTTTACATAAATTGCTTGCTGCCTATCAAAATAAAATCAAAGGATATTCAGAATGTCTGCATATCCTTTAGGCAGTTATAATACCCTGACACCCTGACCTGTTTCTTACAGTCAGGGCCTCTAATTGCAATGAATAATCAATATTGCCTGAGCCTAGTGAATGGGATGAGATAATTGTGCAGAAAGCCTGCATTAAGTACATTTGAAAGAGTAAAATGTTCTGCTGCTAGTGTTGTGTTCTGAGGTCTGCCACTGACCTCGGGCACCACACTTGAGCCAGAATTTTCGAATCTGCATATCTGAAGAGAAGCAGAGATTGTCATATTTGGGCATGTAATTAAGCAGCCTAGTTTCCCCAAAAACCTTTTAAAGCATGTCAAGTGGGAACCTGAACACTGAGATCTCTTAATCACATTAGAAGCATTAACTGCTGCAATGCCAGTTGGAATCAGAATTGGTGAAAAATAGTGATGGTTTGTTCAGAGCTCCTTCTTTGAAAGAGAATCACTCAGCTTGCATTTTTCAGCCTGATAGTCTGAGGTCTGGCCTGCTGATGAGAGAACATCTCTAAAACCACGTAGGGTTTTGTAAATGTTCAGCTTTAGGATGCTGAACAGCTACTTCTATTATAAGGGCACTGGTAAGTGAAGTTTCTTCTGCCTCCCTGACTGAATGCAGACATTTCTCGTTAAAGACCCAAATCCATAAGCTCCTGGTCAATCTTAGCCTTCACGACAGTTTCTTCTGAAAAAAGTATCTGTCTGGTTGGGAGCTCTGGTCTCTCAGTGGGAATTTAGCAAGCTATTTCCATCTGTTGCTGCAGGCTATGTTTCAGAGTATGGGTTCATTTGTGACTCATGTTTCTTTTCTCTCCTTCTTTCCCTCCCCCTTTCTCCCTCTCATCTTCTTTCCTCTGCAGAGGGGGTAAGAATGAGCCAGAACCAGAGCAACCAATCCCTCGAAAGGTGCAGATTCGTTCTCTCCCTTCCTTGGAGGATATTGATCCAGACGTGTTAGATAGCATGCACTCGTTAGGCTGCTTCCGCGACCGAAATAAACTCTTACAGGACTTGTTGTCGGAAGAGTAAGCACTTGCTCAGTCTTCATATCAGTTGGGTGTCCAGGGACTGGGATGCTAATAAAGTGGGGGAGAGGTAGAGAGCACTGTAACTGGTGTCTCTCTCTGTGAGTGACTGGTAGCAACTCCTCACCCTCTGGCTGCTCATTTGCTGGTGAGGTGTTGGGAGCAAGCACTGAGCCTTTCTTGCTCCCTGGGTCAGAAGCTCACAGCCTGACCAGCAATGAAGGCATGGTGCTATCTTTTCCCTTGCTACCAGGCCAGGTCAATTCATTAAAAGATGGGCTGTACAGTCCAGACGGGGAGGTATCCTTGCTGTTATGTGTGTTGGATAAGCCTTTGTTGGCAGATTTTTATTTATTTGAAGCCTATGCCTAACAGCTGGTGTATTTCCTGAGGTGTTAAGAGGGACACGTAGTAGAAAGAGCGTTTAGAGGCTCAGACCTGTCTTGCTGCCACTATTGGTTTGGACTTCCCGTGGACACATTACCTTGTCTGTCCTGTGCCTCTGTTCTGTGTGTATAACATAGGAATCGTATTTCCTTTCCTCACTAGCTGCTTGTTGGAGACAGCAAGGGTCTCAAAAGCTTTGTGGGTTGTGTATCTTGCTGGCAGGTACATGACTATTTCCAACTTATTTAGAATAACTGTAACTATTCATTTGATGAAAAGGGTTTATCTACATGTTGATGTTTTTTTCTTTCCAAATGTAAAGATTCGTTTTCTTTTTTTTTTCAGGGAAAACCAAGAAAAAATGATTTATTTTCTTCTGCTTGACCGGAAGGAGAGGTATCCTAGTCATGAAGATGAGGATCTTCCCCCTAGAAATGAAATAGGTACTACAGATATGACCTCAGTCACCAAGAACCCATCTCAACTAGTTCCTCTTCACCTTTTTTTTTAAATTTTATTTTAATATAAACCCAAAGTCTAGCATAACTGTTACATCTCCACTGAAATGGTGTGAGAATCCTCAACCCGGGGAAGGCATGTCTGTTTCATGGTTGAATTCAAAGGCTTTGTTTCTCAGGACATGTCTGTCTCACAGTGCAGAAACATCCAAGCAGATCTTAAATGAGACCCTAAAAAGTATGCTGTGGACCCACAAGCTGTCTATATGCAAACAGATTCGGTTTAGGAGCAGTATAATCTAGTGGCAGAATTTTCTAGTTACTAATCTACGTGCAGTATTGCAGAAATGCTGCTCATGAACTTCAGCCAATGAGACTGTGTAGCAGTGCATCTCTATGCAGTTACACGTGTATACATTCTCTCTTCTGTAAATGAATACATACACTGTTGAAAATATGAATAATATCACTTAGCTATTTATAGTACATAAATCAAACTCCCATGTTTTTAGACTTAGATTTTAAAAGCTTAACGTGCAGTAAGATTATACATCTTGTAAAGCTCTTGTGATACCACTTTATTTCTATTTATTCATTGATATTTTAGGGTGCTGCTGATCACCAAGGACTTCACTAATCAACAGGAAAAATGCTTTCCAAGGAGCTAACTATATAAGTGACTCTTGCTGTGCAGAGTGACAGAAGTTTAATAAAGGATTAGTCACTTCTAGCAATGATCTGAAATAGCATTTTTACATAGCAGTGTTGTAATTTTCAGGTATTGTATTTCAGCACTTTAAGACTAGAAGTAAAGTGCTGGTTTTTTTCCCTGGAAAGCCTGGAATCTTACAGGCCTACAGGGCAATGCTATATTGCACTGTAAATTTGTTAATGCTCCATTGAATTATTACCTTAGCCGAGTTCCAGGCTCCAGGCCCTATAATTTTGCAGGAGAATCTCTTCTGTGGGAGAAGAGATAAAAGTTCTTAGTTAACACAGCAATTTTTAAACTCCTACCTCGATGGAGCTACAGAGAACATGTTAGTGGGGATCCTGATGAAGATGAGTAGATGTGCCGGCTGCAGGTCCCGTGGTCAAAAGCCCCTTACTCAGTGCAGTTTGTCATCTAGCACTTTACTAATCAGCTTTTGACTCAAACAGATTATCCTGCCATGTAAGGACAGCATCATCTTGTTTTAGAAATGCTTTTGTCCTAAGAAGCAAGGTGACTGTAGAATCTTCATATCCAGCATGTAAGGGAATATGTAGCTATGCCCTAAATACATCATGTATCTCTCTTCCACATGCCAAAGTATTTCCATGATTTGAACTACTATGCTCCACTGTTATGGTATTTTTGTAAACAGAGTGAAAATGTTTCCTGAGAGGGAAACACTGCTCTGTATATATCATTGTGCCTCACCAGCACATTTGAGCTTTATTCTTTGAGTGTTTGTAGGTTGTATTTCTTCTTCCACAGGGGATTTCCACATCCTCTGTTCCCAGCAGTATCTCTGAGAACATGGGGCAAGGTTTAATTAGGAACAGTCATGTGTCTGATTAATATCTCATCATTAGCCATTAGCAATGGCCTTGCACAAACAAAGAAAAGCAGAGAAAAAGTAACAGATTTAATAATAGAGGCTTGAAAAAATCATGTTCTTGAGAGTTGTGCATTGTCTGAGGTCTTGCCAAAAAAGAACAAAGCATTTGAGAGCACTGTGCTTTTTTCATATTTCTTGGCATATTAGGTCTCAGAAAGGACAGATCCAGGTGAAAATATGGCCAGCTCAGGCTTGCCCTCTCTTCTGGTGTCCCTTTTGTCTGTTTCAGCTGTATAAAGTTTTTTCAAAGAGGCAGGGAAGGGTCACTTCCAATGTTTTTCAAGTGCAGCTCCATTTTCTTTACTTGAAAACATAGGAATGAGAAAGTTCTCAGTAAAACGAATGAATGTCAACTAATGTCTCCTTGAGGAAAAGGCTTTTGTGGGGTGAAGTTTCTTAATAAACCAGAGAACAAGAGATTTGGCCAGAACAGATATATAGGATATAGGTGCCTTGTCCAAACTTGGAAGTTGAACTTTTATTTCCCACCTTCCATGAGATGGTGGATTTATAATTGGATCATTACATATATGATTCTGTATTCTTCTGTAAAAATCTTTGGGAATGGCTTCATTTTTTTGATGTGAAATAAAAGGAAACTACATCCTCAGTACTATCACAGATCTTTACTATGGCGTGATGTTTTTTCGCCACGTGGAATATTTCCAGAGAGTCAAGAAGAGAAGGGCAAATAATGGAGGTTTTCCTATTTTTAGTTCCTGTGCTTCTGAAAAATCTACTGCTTTTGTATGACACCACTTTAGTCATTATGACAGGATGGCTGTGTATTTAACTATTTCTTTAGTATCTTTAGACTTGACAGTGATGATGCCCTGTCATTTCTTAATCAGACCCTTCTAAAAAGTATATACAATACTTGCTACTCTCAGCTATGTATAATGTAGGAGTGTAGCCAATTTTAAAGAGGTATCAAATACCTTTATTAGAAGCTCAATTCATGCAAGTTTCTGGATATATTTTTCGTCCAACTTTTGTGAATTGCTGTTCCTGAATTTATAGATGCATTTCACCATCTGGTCTTTTTGCTTACTCTCTCTCTTTGATAGTTCAAAGTATAGATTGGAAATCAATATCTTCCAGCATCTTAAGCAGCAATGACTGATATAAAAGAAACGTTTAGCTTGTTAGTGATATCCTTCTCCTCCTTAATTGTTCTGTTGATTCCCTTATGATCCCTCTGGCTAATGTCCTTCTCTTGAGCTTTCTCTCTCTGATGGCTATACAAAACACCATCATTAAAGTCTTTAGCTAATTCCTCTTCAAATTTCTTCTTTGCTGTCTTTTAAAGTCCACCTTCTGTTTGGCCTGTCACTTTTGTAAGTGTCATTTGGCTGAATTTCTATTTGCTAAAGTCTTCTGTTTTGAACATGCTTGGATCAAATTGCCTTTTAAAATACATGTTCATAATATGTTTTTCATGCCTTTTTCCATCTTTCTTGTTTAACCTCTGTTGTTAACTAGCATCGATGCAGTTTGAACTTATCCATCTCCATTCTTTTGACACTAGATGCTTTTTTCATCTTGCTTCTTCCTCCTTTCTTTTAAACTGCACTCTTTTACCTTCCTTTCTAATATCTGATATCCTGCTGCAAAACTTATATCAATTTTGTGTTATATATACTCTCCACATGTGTGTTACTCAACTCTAATCACACTTATGATACCAGCAGTGTTCTGTGGCATGAATTCTTTCTTATACTTTCTTATGCTTTCAACTTACTTGAAGAAGCAAGAATTTGAAAGATAAACCTTACCCCAGCTTTCTTTTGACCACTTACACGTATGCAGCTGAAGTCACACATGCTTTATTTGGTTTATTTCCCTTTGCTTTTCTGTCAACTTTATGCCCTCTTTATTTTTCCTGTCTAGAATTCATTGTCCCTACCATTTTCTACTATCTCTTTATTACTGGGCCTAGTTTGAAATTGAGTGATATACAACTGTACTTTTTTCCTAATTATTTTTAACAGGAACATTATTACTGCTAATACAAAGAATACTTGGTTTATGCAGTTGTTATCGCTAACTAATGGGGTCAGTTGTTATCACTGACCCATTTGAATTCGAGCCATCTTTTTGCTCATTGTTTCAAGAATAAACTTTACCTTAAAGAGATCTTGTTCTAAAAAACATGACATGAGAAAAAGGAAGAAGAAACAAGCAGATGGGGGAGGTGTGAGGAGAGCAGGATAATAAGGACTACGCAGTAGAGGTAGAATTGTCAAATATGATATTTCTGGTCTTGCAAAGGAATCCTGGCAGAAGAAGCAGCCTTAAGGGCTGGGCACTGTGAGCTTCTTTCTAACAGCAGGAGTGAAGGATGCCTTCTTTTACAAGTGGTCACTCTCCACTAAAATTAAAAATGTGTCTATAAGCAGAGGCAGGGGACTGAAATAGCCCAAGCAAAAGAAAGAAAATCCTTCTGTATTTTTTTCTGCCTTGCTCCTTCTTACTCTTTTGATGCCATGAGAGGTGTTAGTAATGAAACATCTCAGCAGGTCTGCATTTGGTTCCCTGCTTCACCATGGAGGTGTGTATTGTTTGGCAAGTCACCTTCTGCAATGCATTTTGATATCTAAAGGCTCTTTTCAGAACAATTTAAGTGCTCCTCAGAACGTCAGTAAATGTTTGTCAAAATCTTTAGGAATGATGCCTTTAAATCTTTCATTCTTATACTTCAGTTTTCACTGCACAAAGCTAAACTAGCACTTTGATACCTCATAGAATTGTTACACAGTAAAAGGTGTAAAGCGTTTTGGTTACTATAGTAGTAAAAGCGGTATGATGAGCTCTGAGAGAAATTTTAGTGGTTCTCATTGAAGATTCATCTCAGGTAGACAAGCATGTTTAATTTGCAATGCTGAAGAAGGAAAAATATAAATCACTGGGAAAAACCTGAAATCTAATCTTAAAGATGCAAAAAAAGGATATGTTTCCAGAGCAGAATGCAATTCTGAGTTCAGAATGTACCCATGTCCTTGTGTCACATTTAATCTAGCTAGCAGGAACATTGAAGGCAAGGTCTAGCAACCTGAGTGCATACACAAGATCCCTAGATGGCTTATGCTCTGGCTAACAGCCTGTGCTGTAGTCCATGCTGTTGTATCATCTTGTCATTACTGTTATCAGCTTTGTAAGCTAATTTCTGCAAGCTACAGTATAGTTGTACCTTTATGTTACAGTGCTCATAGGTTCAGGGCAGGGGCAGTGTTCCTTCTCTGTGTAGACAGAGTGCAACTTATGTCTTAATGCTTGCAAGTTTGGAAGAAGGGAGAGACTGCAAATGTTCATCTCCCTCATAAAGATATCTGTCATTGTAGAGGAGGTGCAAGAGTGACATTGTTGAGAGAAGATTTAACCAACCTGTGTGAGGTAAATCACAGCTAAATTCAGCTGACAGCATTTTCTTTTCATAAAGATCCCCCCAGGAAGCGTGTGGACTCCCCAATGCTGAACAGGCATGGGAAGCGGCGGCCGGAAAGGAAGTCGATGGAGGTTCTCAGCGTGACAGACGGCGGTTCCCCAGTCCCTGCTCGCAGAGCTATTGAAATGGCACAACATGGACAGAGGTGGGTCTCTGCTTTACCCAGGAGTCCTGCCTGTCTGGGTTTGCTACCCCCTTTTATGTTATACATACAAAGAAGCTGTGGAGCTTTCCTGTTCGCACCAGCACTCGTTACAACTTCCAAGCACATTTGCAACATGGTCTGGCAACCAGCTGCGCTTGTGCACACAGGGCCAGGAGTCCTGCCAGGGGCCCAAGGGTTCTGTTTGCTTGCTGCTCTTCCTCAGGAAACCATGTCCTCTGGGCAAGATTCATCTCACCTCTTTTTAGTTGTGGGGAACATAGGCATTCAGTCTAAGCTTGCGATACAGGCTGACTAGGCAGTGGGGGCAGATGAGGGCTTTGGAAGGTCTCAGATACATATGTCCTGTCAAACAGGATAAATTATTCTCTGCTTGTTCTTCTCTGTCTCCATAGCCTACAACAGGAATCTAGGTAACTATCTTGGATTAGGTTCCTAGCTTTTGGACACCTGAAGTTAAATGAGATGAACCCCACCCTCCATGTCATCAGAACAGCTTGAATCTGAAAAACCTTGTCCAGACATCTGCAAATGCCTCTGAAATGTGCTGTCAGAGCCAGCGTGCATCTGACCCACATAAATTACCACATGCCTGTAAAGTGATGGAATATATATAATTTTACCTCTTTTCTATCAAAGAAAGTGTCAGTCTTACGGGGAAACAACAGACAGAAATGGTGTCTCCTTAAAGCAAGTTCTGAGAGAGTAAGTGAACTGTAGAAATTCACTTATGTGAACCATGGACCTTGCTTCCCCAGTCCCTATGACTAGCCTAAGGGAAGTACATGCATTTGTTTTCACACTTGCATGAATCAATCAATATAAAAGAACACTTTACATATCTGTATGATGACAATGATGCTGTAACTTCTGTTTCAGCTTTGATATGCCTTTTTTTTTCATTCATCTCTTAAGATCTGCTCAAAAAGAGCCTGTTGTGCCCAGAAGCTCCCTTTGCTGACTGAGAACTGGGTGAAGAACATGAAGTAATTTCATAGATACTGCAGAGGCCCCTAGAATTGCTGAAAAGTTTTGCTGGCAAATGTTGCAGTTCTGTCTACAGTGACAAAAAAGTGGTGATTTCCAGAATCTGCTAGGACTTATTTCAGACTGAATATGTGGCCTTGAGATACACTGCCCTAAAGATTTTTTGTTGTAGTGTAGGTTGGAAAGCTGTCTTGAATATGTGATTTCCTTTGGAATGAGGTCTGAGGTAAGGAAGTGTTCAGGACAGGGTGTGCTCTGTGTTCCTCATAGGCCTCAAAGTAGTAAGCATGAACACAACACTGACTCCTTATTCAGCCTGCCCTGTTTAATCTGGTACCTGGTAGATGCATGGGTTGGGAAGCTCCCAGAGCCAGACAGAGGCAAATTACTTTTCCCCACCCCAAGGCTGCCTGTGAGTTGCAGTATTCTGCATCTGTTTACAGGAGGTGTCCAACAGGATGGAACAAACAGGAGGTGTTAGATTTATCACAAAGTTTTCTGAGAGCTGAAACCTTTTCTTTCAGCTCTCATCTTTGACTTTGGATTCAAAAGCCTGAAGAGGCAAAGCTGTGTTTTGCTGTCCAAAGTATTTCTTTTGCTTTTATATGTCTCTCTCAATTCTTCACATGAGGAAACAATTGAAGTCGAAAGGTCTGGGTTGAGTTCAGAGCAGAGACATATCCAGGCTACATATCAATAAAGAAGGGCTGTGGCTTAAGGAGGAAGCAAAACCTGCCAGGCACAAAAGAGATACGGGACAATGCATACCACAACTCAGGAATGGACATAAAGGTGTGATTAAGGGTGGAAAAAGGGATGTAATAACACCATGACAGATGATGATGGCCATGGTAGTGCTTGTTTTTGAAGGGGTTAAAGGGGAGATGTTATTTTACTCCATGTGTGAGCTTCCATAATTCATACCATCCACATGCACAGATGACAACAGCACATTTTGTGTTGCTGGCAGCACAGTCTTTTATAACATGAACTGGCTTCATTAACGAACACCACTGCATGGGGATTGTCTCGGGACGATGCATTGCTGATGGGGCACCATCTGTCAGAACAGTCAGTAATAAAATGACAAGTGCCTTCCACCAAGAAAGGGGATTTTTAATGGCCAGTCTCATATTATATTCTGTGAAGTGACCCACTGACAGTGGATTTTACAGCAGTAGTGTTTAGATCCCAGAGGTGGATGCTTTCTTAAGATGATTTGGTCTCAAGAGATGACTATTCAGTGCTTTTATCCTACAGTACTAGGAAGGTGGACCATGGAAACAGGTTTCCTGTTAAGACACAGATGATTTGTGTAAACATCCAGAGACAAAGAACCATCGCTTCTTTCTTGAGCTGGCAAAGATACACCTCTAACCAGGGGGCAAAACACACCCAAGTGTCTTGTGATTTATTCCTACTATCCTCTATCACAGTAGTAAACAGATGTTTGCTTGCATAGAGAGGATTTCTGTTATAACCTCTGGTTTACATGCCTGTGTGATGAACTGTGCTTTTGGTAACCATGTGGGGGCCCTACAAGGGTCTGGTCTTGGCTTGTTTAGGGCATATCTTTCCACTGAAATTTGAAACTTGGCAGCCTTCAACTCTACAAGCTGAGAAAGTATTAAGTGAAAAACATAGTCCTTCAGTGACTTAGTTTTGAATAACAGATGAGGGGAACTCAGCACAAAGGATACTTATTGAGCTTATGGGCTCCCTGAAATGCTTGTGCTGACCTCTCCAAGTGTTTTCCATTGAATCTATCTATATGACAAAGTTAGTATGCACAAACTCTAGCCACCCTAAAACTGGTGACTAAGTTTTGTTAGTTCTTGGATTTCCCTGCTAGTTGTCAACTAAATGGCTTCGTAATTATATCTTAATTGCTTCTGCTGTTCTGGTGTCCCCACCTCTCAGACTATCTGGTATTTCATTGAAATGTCAAAAGAAAAGAGGTGATTTCTGAGCTTAGTTTAGCACCAGCTACTTTGTCCCTTGTGTTAAAATCACACAGACGAAGAAGAATTCCGTGGGAGCTAGAATCTGTTGGGGATATGCCAGAAATTTTCAGCAGCTTTGCTGTGAGAGTCCAAAAACCATTCTAAAATGGGCTTTGTTAACTATTCATTTTCTTCTAGTTATTTAAGTGGAGAGCTTGCACGAAGGATCAGCTAACATTAGGAAGCAGTGTCCTGTGAAACAGTGAAGCATATTACCAGTGAAACATATTACAGAGAGCTGCCCTTTTATTAAAGCATAGGGAATTTTGCTTCTAAACTGCAGGGATTCAGACCCAGTATGAAAAAGAAGGGTATTTCTCTATACACTGAGTATAGGGAAGAGAGTTGGGAGTTAAGTGGTAATGGACCCTACAAATTAGAATACAAAATGGATTACCATTCCTCTAAGAGGCTCTATGGCCTGATTTTAACCTTTTCCCAGATTGTGCTTAGTTTTGAGGTCTCCTAGAAAAGTTTTGAGTAATGAATGCTTTACAATTTATGCCTTCAGGCATGTTCTGTTTTCCCTGGACAGTGTGACAAAGTAGATGGTACCTGGGTTTTAAATTGGATAAAGGAGAGCAAGGTTTACAAGTATGCATTGGGGAAGTCATCTCAGACCTCAGAAGTCAGGGGAAGATAATGAACTTCAGCACTGTGTAGGTGTGAGCCGTAGCTGTAAAGTAAAAGGAAAAATTTTTCAGAGCATTGCTTAAAAGGGGGAGGATGGGTTGGGGGGCTGGGTGTCCAGCATTGCTTCAGGTGACTCTCTTTTATAAAAATGTCCACAGTAGTAACTCTGTTTTCTCGCTTTGTTCCTGCCATAGTAAAACAATGTTCAGTAAAAGCCTGGATATCTCTGAAGCCAATCCCAAATTCAACAAAGAAGAAAGGTATAAACACTGACAATATGTTCCTCTCCTCTACCTCACTGCTGAGACCTTAAAGATGCAGTACTTACCTTCTCCGTGTGGGGACAGAGCTGTTCTATTCTCTCTTTAGAAAGAAGCAAAAAGGGTGGTTTTTTACAGCCCCACACCACATATGTTTTTGTGTAGTACCATTCCTCTGAGGCTATCCCCTATGCAGCCTGGGACTGTATCAATGATTTCCCCACAAAAATTTCATCCTACTGCTATTTCTTGTTCAGTTCTGCTGTGAGTGAGGATAACCAGGGTAGAAGATGTATTTGCTAAGACTTCCTTGGGAAGGATTGGAATATAAAACACTAGGAAAGCCCAGAGTGCTCCACTCCCAGCATTAGAAACAGCAGCACAACTGAGTCAGTGACAGCAATGGTAGGAAACTGGAAATTCAGTCTGACAGAGCAAAATGTTAAGTACCTATATATAGGAGACAAACTCCTTAAGACTACCCAAAGGACACAAGAGGAAAATATGATTGAAGAGAAGACTTTTTGGAGGATGATTCTAATCTAACAGTTCAAGTGACAGATGGTGAAGAATAAGAAAAAGGGTTGCTCCTGACTGTGAATAGAGGCACAAAGGAAGACGGACAGGCCACCAGATTTAGGGAGTTTAAGTAGGCTTATGTGGGTCCATTAACACAAAAAAAAGCTTAGACTTTTGGGAAGGTTTTTAGTGGACATATTATTTCTAAAATTTTGGTCTCAGAGGAAGAGAATTTTTCTCTGTGTTGAAAGCTGGCATTCCAATGGATAACTCCACATCAAAATGTAATCCTTATACATTTTGGACAAATACTTAGCTTACCCAAAGGTTAGGAGTGTGGCATATGATTAAAAAAGGGAGAAGCAATGGCTTCCTTAAAGGAACCTATGACCTTGGCAAACCATTCTTCTTTCTGTTTCCCTTTTTCATAAAAATCTTTCTATTTAAAGATAAGCGTGGCCTTTAAGCCCCAGGAGACTTGCAGGATGTGTGAGGGACAGCCCCTGTTTTGGCCTTTTGCAGGCTGAGACAGTCTTTTGAAGGCAGTGTTTCAAGTCCTGAACCTGCCACAGTGTAGAAC